TTTTAATATCATCCTCGAATCTATTCTATTCAAATTCCATTTAAACTCGAACTTAACGGATTTTGAACATTCCTAAATATTTATAATATATTATTGTCAATTATATCAGATCTGTCTGATTTTGGAAGAACGTTTTGAAAAATATTTCAAGAGAAATTTGCTCATAATTGTGTTAAATGTAAATAAAATAGCAAAATATCGTTCTTGTCTACATGAATCTTCTGGCGTTCAGCGATCTTAGTCACTCGACCATTAGTAGCTTAAAGGCGTTTTAGCAGTATTTGCTTAATAGAACTATCGTTGTGCTAGCAATATATTTATTTAACGGGTATTATTATTTAACGGTATTTAACGGGTGGTCTTTTGTTTTTGAGTTTTTACGTAACTTTAAAATATAGAAAATTCTAAAATCGTACTTAATTCAATATTTAATGGCAATGATAAATTCAGAATTATAAGGAAAATATCTGAATCTGTTAATATGGTGTTCTTGTTCCTTCATGGGTTTAACTGGATCTGGCAAATCACGTGCCATGCATAAGGAGGAAGACATCTTCTACCTTAGCCGCGGAAGAGGAATTGGCATGGAAAAAAACATTCTAAAGAAAATAGCCATCAAAATACCTACGTTTTCAGTACGCACCGTCGGATTCAATTTAATAATATGATAATGTTCATATTTAAATTACTAGTTAAATACGACCTCATTGGACCATTCAAAATTATTGAATTTAAACATATATCTGATATATTGATGAAATATATTAATTATAATCGTTGCTTGAGCTACAGGAGAAATTGATTATTTCCTCGAATTTCTATATGAATGAAGAATATCACTTCATTAGCAATTATTGCACTCTCCTATGCGTCCTCTTGTAATGTAAGTAGTTGACACATCCATATTAGTAACTAAGAGAGAGATTCATTTCTCGAATATAGAAGAGCGCCAGTTGAATTTTCGTGTTTCTGCATATGAAGCCTTAATACCCTGAACAATTTGGCTTTCTAATTCACGAGTACAAACGAAATGCCTTTTCCGAGATGAATATAAGAGCTATTAAAATTTGACAAGTTCCTATATTCAGTGCATATATCAAGAAGGAAAAAAAAAAAAAAAAAACACGACCACACGTATATTGTCCCTATAGCTAATAATTTCATATACACTACAGCAGCGTTTCTTAAACTGTGGGTAGCGGGACCTGCAGCAGGGGGTCACCAAAAAATTAGCAGTTTTCATATTTCTTTAACGTATTATTATAATTTTACAATTACCAAATAATTTTACACAATGTATCTGTGAATAGATAAAGATTAGACAATACAGACAAAGAAAAAAAACGAAAACGTTTCGATGCATTCTTTTTATAATAGAAACTTTCATTTTACTTGCTTTGCACGTGACGCTGTCATTTCGTCGGATACTTATTTAAAATTTTCACATTTTTCTGTCTTAAATTAGAAATTAAAGTTAATGGCTTAAAACTGCAATAGTATATTACAGTACAAGTTTAATGGCTTAAAACTGCAATAGTATATTACAGTACAAGTAAAAAAATTGACAGTTTAACACACGCGTGTGTCGGATTTGCGCAATGCATTATGGGGGTCCCACAAAATTTTTGGTAAATACTCGTATTATGGGGTCCTGGGAATCGCGAAAATAATCTCAGTGATAAAAAGGAGTCGCGATTGAAAAAAAAGTTTTAAGAAACCCTGCATTACAGTAATGGTATTCTACCACAGCCTTAAATTATCATATTAAAGAAAATAGTCTGAGCAATGAATATATTTGAGAGAAATGCAATGATTATAATCCATTCTTCAACAAGACGTGCCTAGAAAGACAGAATTCTTTAATGATATTTACTTGAATCATAAATAGAAGGGCAAATACCAGATATTTAGTCATGTTTTTTAGTATGCACTCTTATTTCTATGTTATTAATTTTTCTATGGATTACATGAATAGTTTCAGTTACTGAAAAACATTATTATGTTCTAGCGATAGGGAAAGCATTGAATGTTCGGAATTAACTTCTTCCGAAAAATTACAATGGTTAAATTAATTCATACATTTGTGGGAAGAAATGTATGTATACGGTATTTCTTCCGCCTTCTTAACATGCCTTCGTAGTGTAGTGGTCTGCACGCTGGGCGCGTATTCCAGAGCTCTGTGGTTCGATTCTCGGCCAGGGCGTTGCTCATTTTTCATCACTCCTGATTCCAAAATACTTAATGTCGCTATCTATGTATTTGCAAATTGGCAGCTGGCCCTTTTCAGTAGTCCATATATCCAATAACTCCTCAATATGTAGAAGGATTCTATAAATCTTTTAATGTAAAATTTATTTTTATGTATAATGTTTTATATACTATATCCATTACTGAGCCAGATATTTGATATTAGAAGACTTTGTGCTATGTACGTTATACGGTTTCAGAACAATTTAGCTTTGCTGAGCTAGTGTGTTAAAATTTATAAAATAAAACCTAATATTTTATTATCCTCCCAATCAATTGAAACATTTACAGGCGCATTTCACTAAACTTAAATTTTAATCATGTAAACAAAATTTCTTCTCATTTAAACTTCACTAACTACATTTTTCTTTATGCAAATAGTACTTTAATAACTAGTTAACTATTACGAAGACTATGAATATATAATGTGGTTATTAAAGGGATTATAATAATTATTAGTATTAAAATTTTAAATAATTTCTTCAAATATTAAGTTAAAATAATGGTGAATATAAGCATTAAAAATCACAGATGAGTTCAATGATGATGTTAAATACAATATTTACAATCGAAAATCTAAATCTTATACTCCTGAATCCTGAATTGGACAATAAATTCTAAAATCTGCTTCATATACAAATAGTTATTCTATAGACTTTATCTGATAAAACAAAAACTGCAAATAATGTATTAAATATACTTCCTTTGCTTTAAACCAAACATGTAGTTTTTGTATTTTCATTTCTTCCTGAAGAACATAGAAGGATTTTCATTACAGAGAGGAATGCATATTTTGTTCAGCTGCTAAACCTGAATGAAATTACTGACCCTAAAGTCGTCATACAAATCTGAATTCAAATCATGATGCCCCTTTTCGCGATTTTCTAATATTCAGGGAGGTTTTAAGAGCAGAACGACAGCGCGAAATGGACGACATTTTTACACTGCTATTTGCCATTCAAAACATGTGTTTATGAAACTAAAACTTTTCCGCATAAGGGAATAAATATATTTTTCTCGATAACACTGTTGGAATTTTTCTAAAAAGTTCTCGACTAGAATAACAATTTTCTATAAGTTAGAAGAGAGAGGTATTTGGTGATATGCATTTTTTTATTATTATTTAATGCGAATATGACGATGGCGAAAGACATCAGTGAAAGGATGTATCTGGTAAATTTAAACATCTAAAAACTTTCTCTATATATTTAAACCCATTTATAGATATAGCTGCTTGTTCGATAGAATAGATGCAAACAGAATCTGAAATGTATTGCAATGCTAGTTTAATGATGATACTGATGGTTAAACCAAGAATAAATATTTAAAACAAATTTTTAAATTATACTTTTTATTAGTAATATTTCCTGAAAAGGTTATAAGGTATTTCTCCTGCCTTCTTAGCATGTTTTCGTGGTGTGGTGGTCTGCACCCTGGGCGCGTATTACAGGGGTCCGTGGTTCGATTCCCGGCGAAGGCGTTGCTAATTTTTCAATCTCTCTTGCTTTAAAAAAATACCTAATCTCTCTACAAGGTTTCATTATGATTAAATTTGATAATTTTGTCACCTCTGCATCGCATCTTGCAAAATGCAAAATTTTAAATTTTGGCAGCCCAAAAAAATTATCAGATGACGCTGCAGCTCATCTTAACTGCGCAACTGGCAGGATATTAAAGAGAAGAAATTCCCATTCCAAAATCATAAATTCTTTGCGAATTTTATTATGTATACTCAGGTGGACAGTAACTATGCCTCGCATACAGGTGCGCAAACAATACTTGCAGATGTCAGCATTTGAGACAGAACGTGTAGTTGAGTTTAAAGAAGGCGGTTGAACTAACCGGAGAATCTCTCGACATTTGGATAAGGGCGATGCCACTACTGGAGGATGTTGGCAAGAATGGATAAACCATGGCCGAACACGGAGTCAAGAAGGAAGCGGTCGGCATAGAGAGACAACAGAACAAGAAGACCGATCAAACGTCAGAGCTGCATCCAGAGCCCCAGATTCATCATTACCATCGAACCTATATGTAGCTGGTGCCTCAGCGACTGCAAGGATCATTATTAGGCGGCTCAGAGTAAAGGGGCTGAGCCCACGACACCTCTTACTCCGACTACCTCTATACACCAACAAGCCCGTTTGCATTGATGTCGAGCACATTCGACCTGGAATGCCACTGACTGGAATAGAATTGCGTTCAATGATAAGTCCTGTTTCGAACTGAACCCGATGACCTATTGAGAACGTTTGGAGCATTATGGGCTGGGCTCTCCAACCAGGTCGGAATTTTGATGATCTGACTCGCCCGTTGAGCAGAATTTGGCACAATATCGCGCAGGAGGACATCCGCCAATTCTGCCAATCAATGTCAAGGCGAAGTTTACAGAAGTACACCAAGTTTACAGAAGTGCTAGAGATGGACCCAACGCGTTACTGATTTGCTCAATTTGTGAAACTGATTCTCTTGAACAAACCAGCCAGTTTTTTAAACTGTAATCATTTGCTTTTTCTTTTTATATACATCACATTTACCGATATGCGTCCCATTAAAATAACTTCTTCTTGGTGCGTCCCTCCCTTTTTTATTTGTGTGTGTGTATGTCTTAAAGTGAATTTCATTACGTGATCGCACATTAAGATGCATACATTTGCCATTAAAAATCAAGTAAATATGAAGCACATAGCTTATTTAATTAATAATATATTTTCTTTGGCTAAGTATTTAATGCACGTTTGTCTTTTTTTCAGCAGAAGACTTAGAACCCGAGTTTACAGAAACGATACCTAATGTTACAGTAGCGACAGGCCAAGAAGCAGTTTTAAGTTGCGCTGTAGACAACTTAGGAACGTATCGGGTAAGAACTATGTTTTTCAAAATTTAACTGCATTTATCTCTGTTTTGTCTTGTTATCAGACTATTACACGACTGAAAAAACTTCTCTTGGTAAAATCACTCAATAATACTATTGCGAGATAATTGTTTAAGTGAAATCCGAACTCCCATAAATGTTGCGTTTGCGACTACTGAATAATGGTTGTATATTTCTAATTTTAGGGTAGTAACAAGCTAAATGCTATTCAAATAGTGAAGTATCGCAATTGCTCACCTTAAAATTTTAACTGATTCAAACAAGTGAGAAATTGTAAAAGGATGGAAAATCTTAAGCGTTCGAATATAATTTTTTAATATTCGAAACCGATTTGAAATTAAACTAAAATTAACGCTGCAAAATTGGATCTTACCTCAGGATCGATCTAGTTTCTAATAGTATATTCTTCAAACTGAATTTTTGGAGAATTATTAAACTGCTGTCACCACTAACAAATTTCACTAACTATAAATGAAAAATCAATGAAATGAAAGGGGTGTTAAAATATTTTATCTGAAACTACAGCTGTTACAGTACGAAAAACATAATGTAGAAATCACAGTCCATTACAACAGGCTAAGTCAAATTAAAGCCAGATTTCCCCCCCCCCCAAGTCTAGCACTTCGTGTATACTATGTATACCCAGAATGTCTAAGTGGACCTACTGCATTTAAACCTTGATCGTATTCAAAAACGTCACGTACTACAAAAGTTGAATGTTTTCATCGCAAAATGGTAAGTTCTAATTAGGCCGTTTTTCTCTCTTATAGCGTTCAGTTTGCAGTAAACAAATGCACATCTCTTCAGTTAATCATCGATGTATTCGTATGATACGTATGTATATTCGTATGGACGTACCTTCATTAGAATTCATTCTGACTAGGTTCACTTTTATTTGCTAACTCTTCTTTTATTAAAACACATGGCAATTTGTCTATCCTGGATAGAGTTGAAAGGTGAATGAATTTACTTAAACAAAACTGATGGACCTAGTCTAAAAATCATATTGCATTAATTAAAACTAATTCATAAACTTTCATTCAGCAGTAGGGAAATGTAAATTAAGAAAAATTAGAGGATTAGCTACAGAAAATGAAACAAGAATTAATGTTGGAAGAATATAATTTTCTCCTTTTGCATTTTTTGAAAAAAAAATCATATTTTTTAAATTCAAAATTCCGCTTAATTATCGTTCAATCTACATGCAGTACGTAAAACCACAGGCCAGATGTGAAAAACTAACTTTCTGCTGAAGAAAAAAAAACCCGCTGTAATATATCTTTCGTATTGCTGTGACGCTTTTTGTTTGAAATCGACATCACTTTGTCATTTGGAAATATTAAAAATTTACTTGGATGTAATAGATATTGTTACGAAATGCCCAACTACGATAATATAGCTTTCCCTCAAAGTGGGTTTAAGGTTGCCAGAAAGTAGCCCGAAATCACCCATTTCGCGATACTTGGTGACAAAATTGGCGATATGCCATAGACAGATCGAGAACATTCTAAAACGAATTCCTACTGGTTTGGGTCAGAATGTTCTCGAAGGCAGGCCAAAAGCTATATAAACCCTACACGTACGCGGAGTGGCACTTTTTATTGAGTAGTGTATCGTCGAGTTTTATCTTGTGTTTGAGCTCCGAAAGCGATCGACTAAGTCGGAAGCTTGTACTTCATTATTTTGCCTTGAAGATGTCTTCACCGTTAGCATATTTCACAAGTGCACATCTTTGTAGCCATCGAAGGAGTGGCTTCTAGGATAGACCGATGAGCATCCAGCAATATTTCTGTCATGTCACATGACCTTTTGCACGCTTTAAGAGTTAAGCAAGATAATTGAAAATATTTTGCCATGCAATTTTTATGTGCATTGTCTATTTCTTCTGAAAATTTTCATTGCAAAGTTAGATAAAATATAAGCAATTATGAAGATTTTACTACCTGGTTGAAAGAACTTGAAATATATACAAACACATGTTGGATACTCCGCAAAAATATTCATGCGAAATATTACTTAATAAATGATAAATAAGACGAAAGAAATATGATGCACTTCTGAGCCCAAAATGCTATCTTTACATAAAACTATGCATATGAGAAAAATATTTACACCAGTTATATATGTAAATAGAAGTCAGTACTTTTTATTTCAGTCTATATGAAAAAAGAGGTTATAATAATAGCCAATGCAGAATTCTATTCAAAGTGAACTTCACTAATTTGCATTTAGTGTGTTAAATTTCACATTTAATAACTGCTCACTCTTAAATATACTGTCTACACAAGAAATACTCACCAAACAGAATGGATTTATCTATTCATAACGAATATATCCAATTTATTCACATATAACTTTTAATGTTAACAATGAATATAATTAGATCATACACAATATGTATTCTGAATCTTACACTTTCAAAATCAAATGAATGCAAGCACTGAAATAAAAAAACACTAGATTCATTGTAACACTTCCAGTCCTTCTCAGCTCCATCAAAATAATAATAATAATAATAATAATAATAATAATAATAATAATAATAATAGTAATAATAATAAAACTATACACATGAATTCTTTTAATCCACATTTGTTAGTAAATTCATAATATTCGAGGCTAATTGTAGCTTGAGTCATATTCTCGGTGTAAAGAGCGATAATATGCCGTGAACATCAATCCAAATATCAAAGCGTGATAAAAATCGCGAAAGGGAAATATCAGCGATTAATTAAACTCATAAAACGAAAACACTACAATATTTTCTACTTTTACGCCATATTTTTATAACTGCGAAACATATGCAAATTAAAACGTAAACAACATATGCTCACATGCACACGAAGATTTAGCGTCACAAGAGCAATAGAAGTTCATTGGTCCATTTTCGAAACCCCTCCCTCAGTAGCTACGCTGATGTGCACTTCTGAAATATGCTCAAGGTTATAGCCTGATAACCTGAAGGCTGTGTTGCTGATTGTTTCAGCGTGTTTGTCGTAGTTTTTCTGTAACGTTTTTCATTGTTTTTCTGTAACGTTTGTCATTGTTTTTCTGTCACGACTGTAAGCGTGATTTTGGAACTATTCTGAATTAAACTGGCTAAATAAATTTCCTTCTTCATCAAGTGTTGTCATCAAAAACTCCAGATCCACGTACCCGTAGAACGCAACAATCTGCATTTGACTTCTAGTGCAGGACTGAGATATTACACTGTATTTAAACGTTTCTAAATTCTCTATATTGAACGATAGTTCGATATCTCTGGATCTGTGATCGAAAGGAGAACACAGTGATATATGTTTAATAAAACTAGGATATTAAGCATGAGGGATATATGAGGTTTTTAATCCTGGATTGCACGAAAGGAATTAATTTTGATAATAAAAGAAGTTAACTTACATTATTTTTAAATAATTTATAAATTCGCAGTTCAGTCCTTTATAACAATTAAGGTAAAAATGTAAACTTTCTTACTTATAAATGCATGCCGTTGGTGTGATTCTGAAACAGTTCTGTAATTTCTGTAATTTTTAATCAGTTATCGTTTTATACGTTCTACTCTTTCAAGTCTTTCATACATTCATTTTAAAAAAACTCATGAGATTGTTTTCTTATTTTTTACTTTGTTAGCATACTGTTTAGTTACTAGATATATTATTAAGAAAAATTAGCAGATATGATTTGGTATGCCATTCGTTTATGTATGATCCCGTGTGTTAACAGACTGTTGAAGCTACAAACTTCATTTGTAATTTTAGTCAGCACGTTTTGGCGATTTTGAGTGACAGAGATTTTGGCTTAGTAGCCGCTAATGCATACAAACCGAAATTTGTAATTTAAATTTAATATTATTGTTAAGAAGAATTTAATTTTAAAGATATAAATTTAATTTGCATAAGAACTCGTAAAGAAATTTTTAAAAAAATGCATATTGAGGTACGAACGTTAGTACCCTCATCGTTTTTCTAATAAACGTATGTAAAAGTGCGTTATCTTAATAAATTTGATATTACTTGATTTGGATAAGTACTGGAGGTGCGATACTTGCATTTAAGAGGCCACAACACTAGATGCCGTTTTATTTAATAGTTTTTGTTAGTTAGAGATACATAGTATGTTAGAGATGATCACCTTTGAAACTTGTTGCAACCTAGAGAGCACGTTTGAAAAGATAGTTTGCATGAATATGTGGAGCCAAAAATTGAAAGAATAGCAAATGCTAGATTTTTGAACTGATCATATGAATCCGAAATACTATTTTAAGTTTTAGAAATTATCATGCCTTTCTTCTCCAGGTCTTTCAAAGAGACCTTTTTCACTGTGAGTTAATGTCATATTTATTTTTCTACAACTGCATTAAAAAGCATTCAGATTTGGAGCTCCATATTTTTTTTTTTTTTTTTTATTTTTAACGAACTGCTTTTCAAAAGTAACAGTGTCAATATTACAGGGACAAAAATTAAATTCTGTTACTCTAGCATTGAGAGATTATTTTAATCACATCCTACTGAATTCCTGAATCTTCTATAGATAAGCTCCATCAGATTTATAATTGTTGTTTTGAAACAGTAAGTGTAAATTACCGAATTGTTTTTGGCGATGTTTCAGCCGACTTTGAAAATAAATAAATGTTTCTCTTTCAAAATCTTGAGTGAAAAGATACAATTCCTTATTATGCAGCTGAATAACAACGCATTAACCCTCCATTTCAACAAAAAAACTCTTTAAATTGACAATGATATAGAGTTGTAGCTACAATGGTGCTACTTTGGTAGACGGTTGCACAGGCGATTTAATTTGGCGAAATTGTTGGCGCAGTTTTTACAATCGTCAGCAATCTTGAAAACCGCTGTTTTTACGTATTTTGCGCATAGTATAAAGTATTCGAAACTTTAAGAAAATAAATATCGTTAAAAATAATGGATTAATTTTTTGTTGAAAACATTGCTTTTTAAGATGGCAGGCAAATATAAATAAATACATTTACTACGAGTATAAAATACTAAAGTAAGGTTAAATTATTACTTTCATACAGCAAATAAATAGAATAAAAACAGCGCCATAAAAACATTGCGCCAACGTTTAATTGGATTAAAATATTACGTAAATTGAATATCGAATTAAAAACCATCATACCATTGTTTGAAAGAATTAAAAATATTACTTAAATTCAAATACTTTAAAATAAGTAAATAAGAACGCTTCGTACACTAGAGCTAAAATGACAGCAAAAAGTTTATTAGCGGTAAAAAAGGAGGAATGTATAATACTTTTTTTACCGTTACAGTGGTTATTTCTTTCCCCATGATCACAATACCATATACGGCCGTCCTCAGAATCAGCTCTTCTAACGATCTTCATCCGTGATCCACATTTTTCGCACTTCATTGCAAAAGCAAGTAGTGAGGCTTCCTCCCAAAATTTAAAATAAAATAAATTTCCTCTAACCCTTGTAGCGATTTATAAATAAATCTTTGATTAGGAAAGTCCAGGTTGGCCGAAATGAGTTCTCAAAGGACAGCTAATTTTTATTCCGATACCGATAATTTTTAGCATTTCGTACCAATAACAACATTAATCTTTGAAAGGGACATATCTGTTTCTTATGAAATCTAAGGAATTTGAAGAGATGAATAATAAAATTTTAAAATGGTGCGGTAATGCACAAATATTCAGTAATCTATCAGGGAGCTGATTACAGCTCGTTAATGCACAAATATTCTGTAACCAATCAGGGTGCTGATTACATCACTCCTAGAATTAAAATTGTTTAAATAATCATACATAATTAAATCATTTAAAAAAATGCAAAATTAAATTGCATTTAAATATTTAACAGCCATAAATAATGTTTAAAACATTAGATTAAATTTATAGATTTTAAAACCAATTACTTTTAAAGCAAGGTGACGTCATTGATTATATCATCCACAGCATAAATTATACAAAATATCGTAAACAATAAAATTTTTATTTCAAATAAAAATGCAAAATTAAATTGATTTTTAATATTTAGAACCCATAAATAATATTTAAAACACAGAATTTATGCATAATAAAACGCATTATTTTTTAAATAAAATGACAACAAAATATTGGTTACCATAAATAACTTGTCCAGCAATGGGTTTACCATATTTCGTATCGCTCGCCAAAAAAAAAAAAAAAAAAAAAAAAAAAAAATCCGTGCAACCGTCTACAAAGTAGCACCGCCACAATTGTGTTGACAGTATTGGTCACCAGTTCTATAATATTGCAAAATACTCATAGAAATGTCTGTGCACAAAGCGCTTCTTCATGAATCACGCAGTGTTAAACAAGTTTCTTGTGATTATTTTTTTTTTTTCAGTTTTGAAAGAAATGTTTTGTTTCTGTTTAAAAACAAAACATTTTCTCTTTCTGATCATACGTTTTGCCCCATTTGTGGAAAGTGCAACAATATTATTGAGTGGAATATGATGTTTCTTCATGCATTCAATGAAAGCGTCTACAATATCATCGCTATGAGTTTGGCCTTTCAGGAGCAATAATCCTAATAGTTAGGATCCATGAAAGAAAGAAATCGATCCGAACAAAACGTGAAACTTGCCCTGTGTCATTTATGTCACAAGATTCGTAAACAGCTATTCATAAATCTGAAACCAATTTTAAGATTTTCTATTTGCTGATTGTTTATATTGTAAGATATTTTAACTGTTCTGTCTTTCAATGTTTTAGCAGACGTGATAACTCTTTCATTTTTAACAATTTCTTATTCTTAAAATCTCTGAATAACTCTTTGGATACATTTATAAAACACATTTTAATGTATTCATCGTCCGTATGGTTTTCATCTCTTATTCTCTTGACTAACAATGAATATTTCAAAATTAACATTGTTAGTAGATTGCAATATTGCTATAACTTAATACAGAACTTGATTTTTCTCGATTCGAAGTTCCTCTACTGCTTTCTTCCTCGAATCGCTGGCGGGATATGTACTACCAAATGACGCGTGTGCGGTAGTAAATTCTCTTTTAAGATTTGTTTCCTGTTATGCGCCAATATTTATTGATAAATAAGACAGATAGAAGACTACTTGAGTTTTGTATAAACGCGAACGGTTTGGTCCATTCATGTTTAAATTCACCGTTTTCGTTTTCTTTGCTTCTTCTTCGTTACAATGTTAAACAGGCGGCACCTAAAAAGATGTTTCGTTTTATAGCAATAAAAGCAGCTTATAACAACTTATTAAATTTGTAGAGATCTCGATAGCCAATCAAACGATCCTACTACAAAGCAGTTTGAATTCGAGAATCTACAGCAAGAGATTTCTTTAGCGATATACCATTCGACTGCCGCTTAGGATCAAATCTCGAGGTCACCATAATCTTCAAAGTATTCCAACCTCGTGTGCTGCTGCATTTTTCAGAGATGCTAACGAATGGTGACAAGAGAAAGCAACACATATCGAGCAGTACTAAGGGAGCTCACGTCACCACGAGACCACTACAAGTTGATGACGAAAATATCTGTGAGATCTGAAGCTGGCTGAAAGAAGAATGTAGCTTAATGCGCTCAGTAGGTACTCTTGGCGCTCACATGAGACATTTTAGCTCGTCAGGCACTGACCATTGTGCACACTGACGGACAATCTCTGATTGGTTCGTTTCGCGTGTGCTTTCTCGTGCCACATGCCATGCCTGCACTATGTCAGACACCCTGCTCGCCCGCACAAGATCGAAATCAATCCTTAGCAGAGACGCATTCAAGTAGTTAAAAAGCCGCAGTTTGCTGATCACTGCGTTAGAATAAAAAAAACATTCAGTGCATTATTGTGCGACTTTATTGAATCCATGGACAATGAAAATTTAATCCGTGTTCTGCATTAAACCGTTTTTAATTCTAAAATACAGAAGTTTTGTAAAACAAAGCTGCTAATAGAATAAGTGAGAAAATATGCAATGTAAGTAAACACACAAATAATCTTAAAATCACATATTTTTTTCTGCATGCATATTAGTTTATTGCCATGTGTATTTCCGAAAGGGGTTCATAATAAATTAATTTGCTTTATGATGAGTCAGCCCGCTATGAAAGGTTGGAAGCGTGATGGAGTTTTTATATTATCCACAGTTAGAAATGCAAGGAATTTATTTAACAAACACTTACTCAAGGTTTCTGTTATTCGCGGATTAGGAGTGCTTCTTGTTAATAACTGTGCTTTCTTAAGTTTTATTCTTCGTGACTCGTATGCAAAGAGTGGCACTGAGTAAAGGAAGCATATTCAGGGAAGGAAGTTAAATAACATTAACGTAATGATAAATAAACTCTCGATAGTAATTGATATTTGTAAGGGAGTTTCTGATAGGTTTACATAGTCATATTCATTGAAACCAAAAGCATTAAAACATTTGGTAATCTTCCAAAAATATTTTCCAAACCATGGGTGTGTCAGCCTGGATTCCACCAATGTATGGAACTGTTTCCTAACCTTGTGCGAGATCATCTGTGTGAAATTATCAGGAATTAAATGTCATCAGGTTCTTTAATATATTGTATAGTAATCTAGATTTTAACTTCAAACAGCATTTTCATGAATTTAATATGCTACAATAAATCATAATGAAGTTTTTAAAAGGTATTCCATGTATCACATATTTACACCCATTTGCCGTATAAACAACATATTACAATACTATTTTTAAATAGCTATTTTAATGTCTTTTATAACAAATCGAACAGGGAATACTGTGTGTTAGTTTTCTATTACAATGGTTGCAGTTTAAATCCTTTACATGAAATGATGACTCACGTAGTGTTTTAGTATAATCAGGATAATCAATAACATGCGATGTCTGTATTTCCATTGGTGGCAGTTTACGTTTCATCTCTTTGTGGATTTTTTGTTTTTCTGAACCTGAGTGAAAACAAAATACCTTTATGCATTACAAGATATTAAGTTAAACAAAATATTTGACTATTAAAATACTAAAATATAAAATATTAAATTTTAATTTAGTACTAAAGTATAATAAAGTAATAAAATTTGTATTATTTGAGATTCTTTCAGTTTAAAACTATAAAAATTTTAATTCAACTGCAGAATAATTTCGCTTAAAATTTCTGACAGCCATATGTGGGCTGTCAGAAATTTTAAGCGAAAATCTTAAATATCTTTCCCTAAATATAGGATGTTTTCAAGCAAATATATAAATATGCTTCACTGTTAAAGATAATTTAATTTGGTTACTTATATATTTTATTTTTATAAATCTGAATGAATAATAAAATATAATGCGCACTGAAATCAAAATGAGAGTTATTTATTAGAACTAAGTTATTTATGCTGAAAACCTTGATGCTTGGTAACCAGTGGCAGTCACAAACAAGATTAGGCTTTTCCGGAGTTGACATCACCTACTTAAATGTAGAAAGAAGTCACAAAGGTTGTGGTTGCTTAAGCGGACTAAAAGTCTGTACCGTCACATGAGACGAACTATGTAGTGTGGTAACCTTGCTGGATACCTTCTATTATATGAGTACTGGATTACAACGACTCTAGTGTAGAATTGGGTACCCCTTCGATTAGCGACAACTTCTGTTAAATTTTGGCGATGAAACTTCATTTCCGGTTATCATGATAGTTTCAACTTCGTTTTAGTTTACTGATTTTTTTAATGAAAATATATCGATGTGTACATGGACACAGAGTTTGTGCAATTCTTTTACTTTTTATTTTGGTTTTGTATAGGGACCATCTCGAAATCATGCCTTCCAAGCGCTGATCTTGGCGTCAAAAAAGAATCGCCAGAAGACAAGGGTCACCCGCTTGTAAACTTTCACTTTGTTTGCTTTAAACAAAATTAATTTCGACTTGCCACTGGATATCTTCTTAATACCGAATTATAACTTTCTTTAAAGCATCGAGTGAAATTACACATGCTGTAAAACCCCCAGATGTGAGCCTTGGCGACAAATAATAAGACATTCTGTACGATCAATAAAATAAACCTCTGCATTTGAAAGTGGCGAATGCTACTAGTAGGGCCGAGAAGGATTAAATTAAATAAATATAGTGTTACTTTCGTTTGTTAGAATAGAATCTCTAAAGCAATTATTTCTAAGAAAGGAACTTGCGTAACTAAAAATGTTGCTTTTCGTGAGAGATCACGAGATTTAAGCGATTTTCTACAGAATGATATATATATGTCAATGTCACCTATTAGATGTATTAAATATATTGCTTCTGTCGTTTGTAAGAGTGTTTTTATCTAAAGAGTAAGTATTTTCAGTTAAATGCTTATAAAATGTCTGTTTCTTGCTTTATTCATTAAAATTACTAATCTAAGAGCTATATTTGTTATGCTCAGGAATCGTTTCGCACAGTCGTAACTAGGCGATGACAAAAGTATGTTTTCTTGTTGAAAGTATCGATCTGGGGCATATATCTTGCTAGGGGAAAAATTTACTGCATGTTGATCTGAAATGAAAAACATTCCTGAAAAGTTTACCTTCTCCGTAGAAAACATCCCAATCATACGGCTTCAGGTTCTTCGCTTCTCCATATCTAACCCACCAATTTCGACATAACCGGTTACTCCTGGAGCATATCTCTGTCCACTGCATTTCTTGCTGTACCCTGTTTAATTTTTTATTCACACCGATCATTATCAATGCCAGACGACGTCTTAAATTAAATAATTATTATACTTAAATAAGCCTGTGAAAAGAAAACCTTTGAACATAAAATCACATTTAAGCAGTATTCTAATTTTTACAAACAAAATGTTCATCTGCGTGGATGAGATGAATTTAGAATTGCAACGAGCCTAGATAAGGCCAACAGCTAACTCTTGCACGAATCTGACGTCTCCTACTGATTTCTCGCTACTGATTGCATTGCACTGCGTATATTGATGTTAATGTAACGTGCATGTTTTCAAACTGAAAGAGTCAGCATCAAAGGTGCAATTAATTTCATTGCGAGTGCTAAGCAGGTGCAATTGAAAACTAGATTTATCAGATACACATATAAAATACAATCATACCTTCACTTATTGCCAGAAAATAGCGGAATTCGCTGCTTCACGAATAAAGATAAGTTTGCGGTTTCTTATCAGAGATTTACATTGTTATTTCATATAATATTAAACTGTAAAAGCAAAACAGTCCATTAAATGAGAATACTTTATTTTATTAAGCATGCCTTATCTATTGTGCTCCCATACAAAGAATAATGTATTACTCAATACTTTATTTAAGTACCATTACGCTGTTAAATCTCCTACATTAAAGACTTTGCAGATCAGTTTTTTTTTTTTTTTTCTCGAGATGGTAACTAAATTTTCGCTTGCAAGTTTTTTATACGTTAACATTATTTCAATTTTCTGTGTAATTTTTGTGAGTAAGTGTAGTTGCCCTTTTTAACAAGGAAGTGCCAAAAATTGTCCAATATGAGATCCATCAGTGAGTGTATGTAATTCGGTTTCCAATAAAATTCGAAATTACAGAGTATGTTATTTATCGTCTGCTTGTTAAGTACTTATTTTATATAAGTACGATAGCTTTGCATAAACACAAAAATATGCTATTAATACAAGTTGTGAGTGGCAACAATATTTAATTTCATTTCTCAAAAGAATATTCTTGAAAGATATGAAAGGTATGTATTTAGACCGCGGGATTTGTTTGACTTGCCTGTAATAATATAGGCTATAAATAAAAACGACCTTTTCTTTAGGGACTTTGATGTATAATGTTTCTTTACTAAAGCCTTTGTGGAGCCTGGGGCTCAGACGTTAGATAGATTAATAGCAGTGTGGGGGCTTTTCTTTTCCCCTCACATTTTCTTCAGCACGAATCTGACGTCTCCTACTGATTTCTCGCTCTAGTGCATGTACGTTCATTATCAGCCGAAATATCCGATTTAAAGAACATTATTGTAAACTTCGCTGAGTATAAAAATGATCCAGCGGAATATTATTGATAACAGACTTGTGAGAATGAAGACACAAGTTCAAAGTTTTTAGTTAGAGAAAATTGATAAAATGAAGAAACAACATAAAGAATTTGAGTTAGACTAAACAATGAAGCGGAATCGGCAATCAAGGTATAATTCTTCAACAAGTTTTAGAAACTAGTAGTTAAAAGCAAAACCTAACGTTGCCTAAATTACAGTTTAGACAGTTTTTAGATAATTAAAAAAAAATGTCTACATATTGATGCCAGTTTGAACAAACTGATAAAGATTATGATATTGCTAGTAAAAGCAAATTCTAATATTTATTGCAAGCAGTTGCTATTGGTTTCCAGAACACAGAACAAGGCAGGTAACTGAAAGTTTCCACCTACCGGGAGAGAATTATTCAAAGGTTGTAGTATACAGTTTTAACACTTTCCGGCACGCTACCTTTTAAAGTCGGAGTTCTGATTTAAAAAAAAAAAAAAAAAAGGTAGGCAGTCTAATTAGGCCTAGAGGAGTACACAAGTAAAATTTTGTGAAAATAGCACTTATCGTTTTGATTCTGTGGGTGTGTCCAAAATGGCACACTGATTGAATAGAGCTTTGAAAAGAGTGCTGAAACGAGAATTGTTGTCAATGAACTGACCGATGAGATGCGGAGAAACAAAGAATACAGACTCTCAGTTGTCCTAGATTATCGGTGACTCCGGTTTGGGCACACCTAGGGTTCGCCGTTTGATTTTAGGCAAGATTTCTAGGTAAAAATTTAAAACTAATATAGAATAAGGAGATTAGCATACAGCCAAAAAACATAGACATTTCTTTTCAAACAATTATTTTATACCCTAAACAAATCTGGAAGATTTCTTTGAAAAATGAGGTCTTAAAAAACTAAACATGGTTAAAATATATGGACTGGGTTTGTGTAGAGCTGCCATCTACTATAAATAAAGAAGGTTCAGAGTAACCTATAGTAACCTATAAATCCTTTTTCATTCAATTTTTCAATGCGTGCAGAAGGAAATTTTTAGGTGTGTCCATGCCGCAAAGGATTAAAGGCTCGCTTCGGAAGATAACACATTTCGGTGGGAATATCTCTCAGGGAGGTGCTTAAATTAACAATCTCTGTACAAGACAACCAAAAATTATTAATGATATTCCCTTAAGAAAACATTGGGAATTACAACTGACAAATGTGCGTAAATTCTTAATCCAAATGTGTAATCATATTATTACGAATTTGGTATTTAAAAAGCTAATGTTAGTTCAATTACAAATTAAATGATTTTATTTCTCGCGCAGTGCAGCGCGTGACGAATATTAAAAGAAAGCTAAGCCGTAAGCCGTAAAATTGAAAATACAGAGCGCGTGCATTAAATAAATAAATATCTCTTTTGATTTCGAGAAAGTACTGGAAAATTCTAGCGCGTGATTTTTAAATCTTATAAAAGGAGGAGGAGGAAAACATCTCAGTTTGTAGTAGTTGCTTAGTTTTGTTGTTGTTTAGAAAACTGCTGTTGTTGATTGTAGCGAATTCGCGGATTAGCGTTCTTTAGCTGTTTTGAATTACGTTCTATTGGACATTTGAGTAGTTAAAAGATAACTACTGTGAGATATTGTAATACTGCATGATAATTTGAGAAAATTTAAGCATTTTTGTTGTGATAATAATAAATTTTTGTTCATTTTTCATCGGACTTGTGCATTCATTTCATAACGAACCCGTACGCACGCAACAATTTTTGGTGTCAGAAGTGGGATTTGAATGATAATAACAAGAGCGATGGAAGAGCAATTAAGGCAGTTAATATCAGCCTTTGCCTCATTTAAAGAAGAAATTAAAGAGGAAATGAAATTGGGCCAGGAATCCGTTAAGGAAGAAATGAAATTGGGCCAGGAATCCGTTAAGGAAGAAATGAAATTGGGCCAGGAATCCGTAAGGACGAAATGAAAGC